CGGTGCCTCCAAGGCCTAGCGGCTCGGAGGAGCAACTTGGAGCACGCTCCGCTCTGTTTCTGTGTTTAAAGTCTAGCCGAACGCGGTACGTGTTCCTTTTCGACACAAAAGGCCATTGAAGCAGACGCTTCCTTATTTTAGCCCACGCTACGTCCTTGTCAAGTGAAAGACAAAGTGACATTGAGACTGGTTTCAAATGTCAAACTTCTATTTCGGTGTTTGTTGTATCCTGATTACACGGTCCCGTTTGCATTCGTGTGCAAGGTGAATCTTAAGACTTCAGATTTCAATAGAGTGAAAAATTACAGCAAATCAACGGACTCTTCAGCTTATGAGTGGTATTGTTTTTGACAGCGCTTGACCTTTCTCCCGTGTAGTCAAGGTTGAATGTGGCTGACAACTTGCAAAAGTTAGTTTTTGAGCTTCTCAGTGGCAGAAAAAGTTTACGCTGCAACTTTTAACATTCAGGAAAAAGAAAAAGATCGTTTTTCTCCCTTCTCTCTTTTCAACTGAAGAATGGTGGGATTTTGCTGCAGCGTGTCGGGATGTTACAATGACAGCACAAAATTCTTAAGTATCAACCGAGCACCGTAACTTGATTACAGTTTAATATAGCAGACATTATTTCAGGAAACTGTAACTTGGTGCTAGGTAACAGTGTTGCTGGTTATTCTTAAGGGAGCGCTGTAGGTGATGCTATAGTTTTCAAAGAGATAAGAAAGCTCTATCAATGTATTAGGTAATCTGCATCTCTTCTTTTGTGCCTGTTCCAGAGTACCTTTTTTTTCTTTTTTTCCATTCGAATTAGCTGTTGGACGCCATACTTTAGCATGTGACTAGCACTGGCTGCCTTTAAAGTTCATACGAGGCCGACACTGACAAATAGCTGAGCAATTGGTCCTCATCCCTAAGAGAAACGTAGAATCCGTTTTACTTTATAGGTGGACTATTTGCATGGGGAGGAGGGTGTATTTAGAGCCATTTGCTGATGTTTAGGGTTTTTTGGCCATATTTGGTAATTACCATATGCGTACTTACAGTCTGTCTTGTCTTCCTGCTGGAATCAACAGAGAATTGCATTACTGAGTTTGTCTTTGTCATCCAGTTGCCATGAAAATGAATGCAAACAGAACTGTAACTGTGCTCAAGCATCAAACAGCAAAGGCAGCTTCAGATGTTTGAAGTACCAAAATGAAAACAGAATTTAAATAGAACTTTTTTTTCTGTAAAACTATTTTCGTATTTGTTCTTTATTGCTTTTCTAATAGTCATATGTAGGAGTAAATCAAAATTGCTGCCTGTTCTGCAAACATTAACGCTCAGGATGGTTTTTGAGGCAGTCTAAGTTGTTGCTTTTTCCTCATCTGCAGTTTAAGCTTATGATTGTAGTTGCCTCCTTGTTTCAGCTACTGCGATCACCTCTTTGTTCTCCCTTTCTCACCAGCTCCTCTACGCTGCTGCAAAAGCAGTTTCAGCACCAGGGTTTCCCTGTCCTCAAGTTCTCTTATTTTCATCACAAATCTGAAATTCCTTGCCCCTCTTTTAGTGAGCCACATAACTTTTGTGCTAACTCAGTATACCTCAGCAAAACTGTCTGAATTGTTGCTTTTCAGGTTTCAATTTTTTTTAGGTTTAGTTTAATGAAGAGGCTCAAGTGCTTTTAGCAGAAGTGAATGTTATATACACTAAGGGTCTTCTTAGAGAAGAGTGAATTTCAGGTGTGTCACTTAGATTGTCTGCCCTAGTAGTAGTCAGTGACAAAGCGATGCCAGATAATTAATTTAAAATTGCTCTGTGCCCGTCTCTTCTAGAATCAGTATGTGGAAAGTGAGCCTGTGTGGGGTGGATATGGGTGTGGTACAATAGTGAAAGAGCTACTCCCAGCTACTTGGCATGAGTGCTTAGGGATTCATTTTCTTTGGTCAAACAACAGTTTACAAGGGCTAAAGAGGTTGTATGTTAATAGCAGAGATGTATTCAAATACAAAAATGCGAAACGTGTTTGTTTCATGTATGCCGCAAAGGGCGAAAAGTTAACTTTTTCTAGCCTCTACTTTATCCTTTCATAGTAAGATCAACAGAAACCTTATGAAAACTCATGTTATTTCCAGCCCTCTCATAGATTTTAAAGGCTTTACGGGAACTGTTACTGGTGTGCTTGAATCCTTGGGTCTTTGTCTCTGATTTTGTCTTCTGACTGTTATGTGCATGTTAGTTTTTTTTTTTTTTTGATTTCCCCCCTGTCCTGAGCATAGGAAGGAACAAGAAACTCGAAGCCGTAGTGCTTCCTTTGGGATTCCTCTGAGAAAAGGAAATAGCTCTACTACTAATATTAATCTCTGCTCTTGGAGCCTCGTGATTCTTGCCAGTGTTTGCTTACTGCTGCTATTTGTACCATGTTGTATCTTTTGGTATGTTCGCTGTCAGTTTCTTGGTTGTCCAGATTCTCTGATAGTTATGGAATGAAATGGTCAAAATATTTGAGTATCTTCTTGACTCTGTAGACATTTATGTAGCAGTTCACGTTTGAAAGCATCCTTTTTAACTATAAAGGATAGAAACATAACTTTTCAAAGCTAAAAAACAGACTGACACCTTTTTTTGTAATTATCATGAGTGGAATTTTTGGAGCGCAGGGAACAATTTTTTATATAAAGCATTTGAATTCATTATTTAAGCATTTCACTTAAACAAGTTTCAAAATTTAGTTTTGTTATAAGTGCTGAGATATATCATGCTGGTGATCTTTTTCTCTGTTGTTGGGATCTGCCTTTTCTTGCTTATTCCTGCCTTGTCAGGATCCTGATGTCTTTGCTAGTTTT